TTGTTTTTAAAATTTAACTGTACATATCAACAAACATTTAGACACTTTTTTAATTATACCCAAAGAACAGATTATTTAATATAGTCATTGATAACAAAAGAATTATTGTATATAATGAAATGATGAATAAAGTATTATTATTAAAAAAAAGAAAAAATTATTATTATTATTATTTTTATTATTATTTTATTTTACGTTTTTTCCAACTGCAAGGTAGCCCTAGAACAACAACGCTATACTTGGCGGCATGACTCGATTCTGATGACTATTATTCATCACTTAAAAGTCGCAGTTGGTGCAGATCTTCGACTGTTTGCGGACTGTCCTAATTCAGGTACGACCTGTACTTCAACTTTATTTCGAACGCTAAGACCTGATATAGTGGTGGATCTTAAGGGTTCTGTATATGTGGTTAAATTAACTGTTCCCTACGAAACCAATTGTACGAAGGCTAAAAGTCGCAAGAAAGAAAGATACAGACATCTAAGATCTGAGCTGATCACGGCGCGTTATGCGTTTGAAGTTATTACACTTGAAGTAACCACTCTAGGGTTTGTGTCGAAAGATATTGACAGATTTCGTAGATTATTACGAACACTTGAAATGAACGACGAACGTATTATTAAAAAATGTATGGAGGTAGCTCTGAGAGCAACATTCTACATTTACTGCAGAAGAAACAAGCCATGGAATAATCCAGACTTACTGAATTTTTATTAGCTACTATTGATACAAAGTGTAGAGACTGTCTAACATAGTGAACTGTTTCTCTATTTTCCTGATTTAATTGAAAGTCTAATTATGTGATATATTTGTATAAATTATCATGTTATTAATAAAGATTTCTGTTGTTTAAAAATTATAGAAGTAATTGTTTGACCTATAGCTAGTGTCTCAGAATTATTTGAATTCAATTTCCTTGAAAGTATCAAACTTTTAGTATATATTTCCCATTTTACTCTGGGCTTACGACTTCTGCTGTCAACACATGTCCATATTTCGCGCAAAAGTTATTTCAATCAAATTTTAAACGTAAATATCTCGAAAAGTTCTCTTTTCGTTTCACGATATACCGAATGATGACTTCTTACAACAACATTGCAAGAATGTTAAGCGGAATACGCACTCAGATCTATTAAATATTTATACCACTTGCAAGCAGTTCAGACTATATTTCAATTTTTTTTATTTTTCGATACGTTTCTCTATCGGAAAATAAACGCAAAAAGTATGTTTAGTGGTAATTGTCTGTAAAATAATGCGGCTAAAATGAAGAGATCTTAGATTGTACGTCAAAGAGAAAATGATGTCTGAAGTTTGTCCGTTTTGCTCATATTGCTGAATAAATACTGTATGGCGTCAATTTTACAGCATCAATACATGGTAATTGTATTCAAATTGACAGTATTTAACTTTTGTTTTTAGTGTTTTTCAATCGCCAGATACATGTGAAAACTACAAAATTAAAACAATGTAATTTTGAGAAGAACGCCAAAAATATTTTAGGTTTTGAACACTTTTCATCGCAAATACACGACACTGATGCGGAAATACTTGGCAAAAAATGGAATGACACTCCCAAATGACTTTCATCACCTTTGCACTCACAAATACTTAGGCTGTTTGAGCAGGATGTATAAAAAAGAAGACTTTAGCCTATCTTTATAATTTCAATGCCGGAACACTACGCTAAGCCACGTAACACGCATAATTTAATTAAATTTTAGGCCCATGGCTAATTAAATGATTTTCGATTTCATCCAACATGTCAACATATGAATTGATATACTTTGCTCATTGGTAGTTAAGCTTTAATACAAGTATCAAATAAAACCTTATGATTTATTTTACATCTATCAAAATATCAAGCACCGTGTCCTTCGACGTCGCCCCATTTCTCTCAACACTAAGTACTGTTCGCTTGTGCATACAACAAATATATATTGTATGCACTTTAATACAAGTATCAAATAAAACCTTATGATTTATTTTACATCTATCAAAATATCAAGCACCGTGTCCTTCGACGTCGCCCCCATTTCTCTCAACACTAAGTACTGTTCGCTTGTGCATACAACAAATATATATTGTATGCACGTAGTCAATATTTTATGCATCCGTTTAGCACGGTTCATGCATTGAAATTATAACGATATAGGACAATTTCTATAAAGGTTTTATACACCGTGTATAGCGTTTGATCTGTGCATATATACACCCTGTATAGCGTTTGATTTTTTTATACACCCTGTATAAGGAGGTGGGGGAGTAAGTATGTATATTTCCAAGCAATTAACATTTAAAATTCGTAATAATCCAGTTCAAAATATTGAAGATGTAATTGAGACAATGTTTATTGAAATTTGCAAACCAAATGGTAAGAATCTAATTATTGGGGTGATCTATCGACCACCCAACAGCAAATTTGAAATGTTTGTAAATGCTATTAATGCAATCCTATACAAAATTGAAAGAAAAATAAAGTGGTTTGAAAATTGTCTGTCTGGTATGAAACAGGGCGTCAAATCAAATTAACTCAGGACAAATGGAAATTACAAGTGGTGTCTCACAAAGGTCTACATTGGGACCACTTCTGTTCTACTATACATTAACGACATTCAAAATTGTAGCAACATTATTTCTGTCATATTAGTTGCAGATGACACAAGTATATTCTACAATCACACTTGTCTTAAAACACTAAATAAAATTATTCAACAAGAACACACGATAGAGTCTCTATTAGGTTAAATGTCATTCAAAAACTCATTAATAATTCAGGAGGAAAACACAAAGAAAAATCATAAGCGTGTCGTGGTTTTATATGTGATAAAAAATCATGTTAATTTACATAAACTTTAGCTTTGATTTTCTCGGTTTAGACGAAGTTTATTTTAAAAATTACTTCGTCAGTGAACTCGTATAAGATGAGTCGTTTTTGAAGCCATGTAAAGCACTTGTAGTCGTGTTTTAACACATATAAAACACTCCGCTACGCGTCGTGTTTTATATGTGATAAAACACTCCTACGCGTGCTTTAAATAGTACATAAACTTCCATTAATACTACAAACACTACAAACACAAAATTCATATGTATGGGCGTTTGATTATGTTGCTTTCAAATTAAAGATCCTTAGCTTTCGGAAACATAGAACAAATTTTTGAGTCAAAATCACCAAGCGGAAGTACAAAGTAATTTTCCTCATATTTTCACCACCCAGTTTTTTTCGACCCTCGACAATTTTTTTGACTGTAGACATCCTACCCTCGCCCTTGACCTATTACCCTGGACCAATAGTCAAACTCGGTTCAATATGGTACTCAGGCATTCAAATTATAACAAGGTAGATCTCTAAAGGTCTCCTTTTTCGAGACACCCTGTATATGTAATTAATTGTAAGATTGTAATAGATCAAAAGTAGTTGCTAAATATGTCATAACAGTACTTGGATGAAATTCTTAAAATATTTTTATCTCACATAGTAATGACATAAGAAACTAAGTGTTGTGAATTGAATAACATAAATGATTTATTTTATACAAGCTCTCGATGAAATTATTCCTTAGGTAATGTTGTTCATTCCCAACTTCATTCAAATCACAATGTTTACATACTTGATCTGGAGAAATATTGTTGTATCAACCAGTTTCAACTGGTAGCATATATCACAGTGCTAAAAATTGAAACTCAGACGTTGTGGATTTCGAAAAGGTATTTTTCAAAATCAAAGATCAATTTCATTTTGCTTAATATTCTTATATTTTTCTTTGTTTTGTTTGATATGAGTTAGCTTTTATAATATGTAGAGAATTCTTCATGTAGTGTATTTTTTAAGTATTGTGAGGGATTGGGTTAGGGTTTACTGATTCTTTATTAATGACATTGATAGCTATAAGCTATTGCACTAATGCACTGTAGCCAAAGCATTTAATTCTCAGCAAGTAATTTACAAAAACTACTAGTTGAAAGTTCAATTGCATGTTCAAAAGATGTGTCCGTGATGTTCAAGCTAGTTTCCACTCAGGAAAATTATCCGGTGGATTGGAATGGACAAGAAAATTTTTCTTGGAACTAATGACTTTAACACAAAGAAAAATTTTCTTGTCCGCTCCAATCCACGGATAATTTTCCTGAGTGGAAACTAGCCTTAATACTTGCAACGTATATTGATTCTAATGGCTGACTCCAATGGACCAGTTATATACCCCATGCTTGTTGTACAATATGTCATTTTATATCATAGCATATTTTGTCTTTCGTATGAAGGAAAATAAATAAGCGTGCACATATTTTGTAATTGGAAGTTTAAGGGTACTTGTGCTGGGCGTTGCTTATAAAGTACCGGAATTTGATTGATGACGCATACTATGAAGCATACGGAAGCCTGTAGCTATATATGAAGGCACAATCTTGGCCAAATTACATCGAACGACTGAACATCTTCAAAGAGAAGTAAAAAAAGAAACTGAAGAAGGACTTTAACAACAGTGCAAAGATTATCAGGCAATATACACAAACAATACAATGAAAATCAATAAGGTATGTCGTGAATTAGTTCTTTTCTTCTATTCGACAAGCTATTTTGGAAAGTGGCTATACCAGTAATTACGACCAGTCTTTTAGCTCTGGAGGTCTTAGTTTTCAAGACACCCTGGCCAAGTAATAGCATGTGTTAATGTTAATGTTAATCTTAATGGTTTATTAAATACTTGACTGGCAATTTTATACAATAAACTGATTGAAAAACTCAAGTTGTCTAAGACTAAAAATGTCAGACGTTCATTAAAACTATATCACTTGTCAGTATAATACATTAAAAAGTAAAAATATTTACGGACAATTATCCCATCTTTTCACACAAGACGGCAAAAAACTGTTACTAAAACGCTTGCCCTTAGTTCTACACTTGAACAATCGTAACTTTCGAGGATCGATTTCTCAGATCAGTCGTAATGGTGGACAATGTAGGTAACTTCAATTCAGATAGTCCCTGACTGTACGATAAATATATGCGGGTATCGTTCGTACGGCACGTCGTTGTATACCCTAAACGTTGTCTTTCATGGAGGATGTCAAAGAAAAGTGCCACACGGGACATGCTGTAAAATAGGACTTAGGAAACTCTGTGGCTGTTGAAGATGAGATTTCGTAAATTGTACCGAGACAAGTCACTAATCATGACTAAGAAAAACATCGGGCCGAGTTTACTTCCTTGTGGGACACTTGCAAACTATTATAAAACGAAAGAAATAACTCGGTAACCGTAACAGTATTGATATTATTTAATAATACAGCACAAAATTCAGCAAGAAAGTACAAAAGCGGAAGTGGGAGGGTTGTGATATTTTGACCGTAATTATGTAATATGTAAAAAATGTTGCACGCATGCAGCCAGAATATGTTCGGGCGAAATATGCAGCTGTGCACCAGTTTGAGATAGAGAAGGTAAATAGAAAAGTTAACGTGCCGAACACTTCGAAATAATACAGGGATACTGACTACCTGAACAATATATGGAAAATTACATTTCGAGCGAAGGCCCTTCGTTTGGAGTTAATAGCGGGGAAATTACATGAAATATAAAGGCGATCACATGAGAAAAAATGAACCAATCAGATGGATATATAGTCAAAACAAAGTACAAACAAAAAATGTAAATCACATTACAAATATATTATAAATTTCCACGTCACAACATTATAATTCATATTTACTTGCCAAAATACAATATCTTGTTGAGCTGGGGCCGGTTGCATCAAGCCCATTTAGCATGAACGGTAGATAAGTCAAAATTAAATAACACTCTTATATCTTTCGTGAACCAGTCAACTTAAATATTATGCACTAAATAAAAGTAGTTGTAAACATTATCGTTCTATTAAAGTTCAAAACTTTTAGTTTGGTTGTTGAATGAATCTATAGACTATAGACTTGCTTTCTATTTTGAGCTTAACCACCGTTTAAACTTTCATATACGTAGGAGCTCTTTGACCACTTTGATTTATGCTGCGCAATCAACTACTAATATATAATTCTGTTTTATACAGTACGTTCGTGTAGCGCACCGAATGTATTAATTTATTCACTGAAATCAATGCATGGGGTCTGTTTTCAGTTCTACTTGTAAAAGATTAAGGCTTTCATTTTTGTTTTGCAGCCATCAATAGTGTCAAGTATTTAGATAGTGAATACTTGCAGTTTTAGACTAATGCTTTTTTGAAAGGCAAATCGTAAAATTATAGTATGTTAGAGAAATAATGATCAAGTGTTAATTTAATATTGTAATTCGGGGGGAAGGGGGCGAAGGTGCCCTTTCAATTTAAAGGATTGCCTTGGCTAAATAGCGAATTGTCAGAAATGTTAGTGCGATTCTTTTACGAATTTGCTTCAGAAAACGCAAAAAATGCAGTTATCGAGCTTCAAGAATTGCACAATCGCCTGGCGGAGAACCCCCTCATGCACACCCCTATCATCCAATAAATAGAAAACATGAATAGGCGAAGTTCAACTCCCGATGTTTTGCAAACATATCTTAGTATATATCAATTCAAAAATGCCCTTTCACGAAAATCTGCCCCCCTTGCCTTCGAAAGACACTGTTGGCATTTTCCAGAACTATTTAATATTATATACAAACAGTTCAGGCAGCGGATTTCGTTAATTATAACCAATCTGCCACCCTGCAGTGATAAAAATTCACATTTTGTTTGCATATTACATAATTTTACAATTATAACATGATATTTCTTACTTTTTTTTTCTCAAGAAAAAGTGGATTGCATCAGAACTGCTGGTGGTTTTTTTACTGTTACTCGAAACAATTGTGGAAATTCAAGGCGCACCCGTGTCGGCAAATACAGGTAGTGTATGATATATTCATTAATCATTAGGCTACAACTTTACTATTATATATTTATGATTTAAATATATACAGGTAGTGCATGATTTATTCATTAATCATTCCAACTTTACTATTATATTTATGATTTAAATAAATACAGGTAGTGCATAATATATTCATTAATCATTCCAACTTTACTATTATATTTATGATTATGATTATCATTATCATTTCTAGAGCGCAAATTTCCATGTATGGATATGATCAAATGCGCTTTACATCAAGTTTTTGCGCTTACCTAATTCTTAACTTAGCCTAGACTATTTTATCTATACCTTTACAACGATTGCAATATTAATTTTTTTTTTCTGTGTTGGTGTTGTGTACTCAGGTGAATAATATGTTTGCGATGTTACTCTGAGTGCATATCCACACCGGGCGAGCTTGAAAAATATGCCCGGCCACGGTGGGATTCGAACCTACGACCTTTGGAATACTAGCCCACAAACATAATTGCAATATTGCTTTCTTAACTATGTTTATCCCAACCCACCCTGTCAACTTTCCCTGTGGAAGGAAACCAGAGCACCCGGAGAAAACCAACAACTTTCGGCAGAGCGTTTACTCGTAGCGAGAATCGAACCTACGAACTCAGACGTGAAAGGCGCGCTTGCCCGAACGACACCGAAGCTCTCAGTTCATTACGAACTTTACTTTAGGTGGTTAGTTAGACGGACGTTTAAATATGCACAATAGTTCGTACATATAAAACAAAATAAAGGCAAATGAAAAGCACTGGTCGGGTTAAAACTATTTCCGACCTGTGCACGATTCAATGATCCGCAAATTGATCCGAGAAATGATCGCAGCTGTTTTTGCTGACTATCTGACCTTTACCTGCGACTATTCCTGATTATAAAACAGATATTTTTAATATAGATCATTTGCAAGAAAGTACACTTTCTTAAAAAGTTAATATTCAATCTTGCACAACGTTGGAAAAATATTATTTATTTACGAGATCACGTGAATAAATATTAATGTTAAAACTCTTCCCACGATGCTGTAGTAATATTTGTAGTAAGATGCTGTAGTAATATTTTCAATTGCATCGCAAGATAAATGGAAGAGTGCGATAAAAATATCGTATCACTTGTGTGTTGTTTAGGCGTTTAGGACTGCTAATAATAATAAGCTCCTGCATGCATAATGTCAATATCCAAATCCGTTGATCGGCTGAAATTTGATAAATGCGCATAAATCTCATCCAATTTTAAATTAAGAATAAAGTTAATGATAATTGAATGCCAAATTTTAGCTTGGTTTCTTAGGCCCATCATACCAAAGTGTTTTGTATAACATTTTAGCTGGATCTGTCCTATGTCCTGCTCCGTCTCCTGGAAGTGTTTGTCGGGAACCTGAAGATACATGCACAAATCATTCAGAGTGTAAATTGTCTTCGCGCGGAAACAAATGGATTGGCTTATGTTGCCCCCATCATGCTTGTAAAGGGAAAAAAGTTTGCAAGGATGTTCGCTGTAAGTATGTTGTGATGCAGTTAGTAATCATACTTCCCATTATTACAATTATTGCAATTTTAATTTCGAAAAACTGTGCAGGGAAGAGCTCGACTACAAAATTTTTCAAGCGCAATGATTAAGGTTACGTTCGTGAAGCGCGAATATATTGCGGTCTTTAGTTCTCATTTAATTTGTCGTGAATCGGACAGTTCTTATAAGAATCGTAAAACTAAATTAAGTGGCCACTTTTGCTATCGATCAATTTCGCTCTCCCTGATTGCTAGAGATGAAAAAGCGTTATTATTAATATATTTTGTGTATTCTTTTTCTTTGTAGTACCCACTCCATCTACTACGATCCGTCCTACCACAGAATATATCACAACTACGGAATATACAACACAATCAAGCACCATGTCGAGCACAACGGACATTACAGCGTCGACAGCGCCACCTACGAATCCAGTAACTACACAAACGGACCAATTTACTACCACTACATCAAGTACCAACAAGCCTACTAGCGTTGCCAAAACGACTAGCACAGAAAAATATTCTTCTACACAAGAATCAAGTACTACTGAATCTCGGACAACAACAACGGATGAGAAAAAATCTACCATTGCTTTACCTACAACAGAAGTAGAAACAACAACTGCAGAACGTACCACTGAATTTCCAACAAACACCAGGAGAACTACGACCGAAATGCCATCATCGACAACACCAACAATGACAGTTGTAACAACATTAATAACACAAAAACCTAGACCAAGTCCATCTACATGCAGTCAAAACAACGCCAAAGATATTTTGTTTATCATAGATGGTACAGTTAACTACAGACATCATTGGGTGACTAGAAAAAAAGAATGGAAACAGATAAAACATTTTGTCAAGGAAGTCGTTTCGGAGTTGAATGGTGATAATTCTAGAGTTGGTGTTATGCAATATGGTGGAAGACGAAAGCCTAAGATGGAGGTTGATCTTTCGGCAAGAACTAGTACTGCTGACCTAATTTATCGCATTGGAAATATAAGACAGATTGGTGGAGTGAAAAGAATGACCGGAAAATCACTGGCTATCGCAAGAAATAAAGTAAGTTAACATCATGTGCTGTGATGTTTGACGTAACTAAGATCTCGCATAGTTAGCTTTTAATAGCTAATATATACTTATTTGATGAATAATTGTCATATCTCCTATTTTTATTCTAATATTGATGATTTTCACTTTATATTCTAGTTCTATAAATTGAACTCGCTCTACAAGCGTGGTAGTGCACAGGATATTATCGTTCTGATCACGCGTGGAAAACCGTCTGACAGGAAAGAAACTTTGGCTGAGGTGGAACTGCTAAAACGGAAAATGATACGAGTAATTGCTATTGGAGTGGCTCCCTATCCACGCTATTTGAAAAGTTGTCTACGAAACATTGCATCATTCAAGGAAGACGCAATCACCACAAAATACAGTGAACTCGCCAACAAGAAAATGGACGTCCTCGAAAGGATTTGTCTGCCAGTTAAACTACCTGGAAGTTCTTATTATTATTATTATTATCATTATTATTATTAATGTTAAACACTCCCAAAAGGGTTTTTCAGTGTTCATTACAAAAGTCATAAGAAGTAATTACTTAAATTATATTCTAAAAACTATGTATTAATATACTATTTACTCTAAAATTTAAATCTATAATATCAAGCTATTCATAATAATCTAGCCAGGGTAAAATTAAATACTTATTATAGTATAGTTAATACTATTTAATTTAAAATTTAATCAGTAAAAGGTGTAATTCAGTTCTGCTCATCAAAAAATTGTTCAACCAAGTAACTTCGTAGCTCATTTTTAAAACGTTCCAAATTGAAATTATGGTTTTTTAACCATTCTGGCAAACTGTTGCATAAACAAGCGGCTCGGACAAGTTGCCCTATATAAAGGTATTTCTAACAATCCATTAGATATTGTGTTCAAATTATGTAATTGTGATCTTGTTTGAAGAATACGACATAAATATGATGGGACCATGCCATTAATGCATTTATAAACCATTACTGTATCTCGGAATCGCAACATATAATTGACTGGTAACCAGTTAAGCCGTTTTAAGAATGGCGTGATGTGAACAAATTTTTTTGTGCCAGTGACAATACGTGCTGCAAAGTTCTGAAACTTTTTGCAATTTTGTAGTGTTTTTCTTCGATGAATTGGACCGTATTAGTCTAGGACCTGTATATGAGTTTGTATGCATTTCATTTAGGACAGATAATCTCACTGTTTTAGGGTAAGTTGACCATGACGGTCAACATGGTAACGCTGCCCGAACCCCAATCCGGGACGAAACGTCCGAAACTGACCACACCCAAAAACGACGCTTTCACCGTACTGCTATCTACCAAACCATAAAAGCTTTGGCTATTCTGAGGTGCTTATATGGTTCAGAGATGGTACTTTTGGGGGTGGTCATTGGTAAGTGTGAAATGCCTAGCACTAATATTTCACAAGAATCAATCATAGTTTCGAAATTTAGATAAACGCAAGACAAATGTTAAAACAGAATTAATGATAGAACGGGGGTTATGAACATTTTCACTTACATCGAAGGGGGTTACGAAAATTTTTCCATAGGTTTTTGGGAGGGTATGGAAATATGTACTTGAAATGTCATTTATCCTCCACCCCCCTCTAGTAATTACTTTATGACCGATCCCTTACGCGCTCAAAAATTTCACCCTCGATGCAAGGTAGGGATTGCTGCGGGCATTAATGAAAAGCAAATAGAACTACAGTGACATGAGATATTAAACATGTGCGTTCACGGCATTGACATCATGTAAATTAATTATATAACACAAGTTTTTGCTATCAGATTTCATATCAAGATTTCATATCATATTATTGCTGCGGAGTGAGCGAGCCTGAAGCGAGCGAGCGTAGCAGCAGCCTAATATGTGCAGAGAGGGGGTTTTGAACTAAATTTTATTTAGCGCATGGAATTGTGGTCGTGCGCGCTTTTCTATGTGCAGAACACAAATTTTAAACTCGCTCGAGTCTTCGAATTTTTATCGAATTTCTAAAGTTTTTTCAATTCTAATGTTACGCTTACATTTGTTGTGGACTTTGGCCACTATCAGTACTATATTTTTATAACGTTTTGGTTTCTTAGTGTGATAAATCTGTGTATATAGTCTATATAAAATGGTAAATGCGCCTAGCAGTAAACAGACTTGATATAAAATCTGATCTTAATTTACCTGTATGTCAATGAGACGCACATGTTTAACATCTGTCACCTCTGATTGATCTTTAACCCATGTCTTTGCTACTTCCAATATATATATTGCTTCTTCTTAGTTCCATTCACATTCACAGCTCATGCACTAGTCGCTGCGAGTAATCACTGCATGTGCTTGATATAATTTGTGCTGTTTACTGTAGTTCTATTTGCTTTTAATGCCCGCAGCAATCCCGGCTTGCAGGTACCCTAATCCTATCTTTTTACTGCTAGGCGCATATTTACCATATATAGACTACATACACAGATTTATAATAATAATAATAATAATAATAATAATATTTAATATTTATATTGCGCAAATTAACATGTTATAGTATATGATCAAATGCGCATCACAAAACATAATTACACTAAAATTATTCTATGCTTAATGGTTACTAACTAAAAATATAAAGAAGATTATATAGATTATATGTTACATAAAGTATTTACATTAAAGGCTTCTTTAAAATAACAAGTCTTAACTAATTTATTGAAAATACTAAAGTTATGCAGATTTCTAACTGATACATAGATAATTCATTCCAGATTTTTGGAGCGGAGGTTACAAATGCTCTGTCACCGAGTGTTTTCTTTGTTTTTGTACTGTAGTCTTCAAGCAATGTGCCTTCGTTAGATCTTAGACTATAGCACGATGTCTTTCTTACTTTTAAAAGATCAAAAAGACAGAGAGGTGAATACTGATGGATACACTAAGAGCAAGCACGGCAATTTTGAACTTGATCCTTATATAATCGAACGGGGAGCCAGTGTAGTTTGATGAGAGTCGGAGTGATGTGATCATGTTTAGGCCATATAAAAATACTTGTTTAGCGTCCCCGCCCGACCTGATAAAAGTCCCCGACCTCCAATTTTTTTAATTTTTTTTTTTTAAATCTGTCCGAGTTTAGTGCAAAACCTCTCTATAAAAAAGACCGTGACTTGAAAAAATGGTGATTTTATTCTTCTGGGAGCTATGTAATACGTTTACACAAAGCTTCCTTCCCAGAATATGCCTGTTCGCAGCTAAAGTGTTCGCGCGTGACCGCCAAATGGCAATTTTCTGTTTTATTAAAAACATGAACGATATTAAAAAACATGAACGGATTTTGAAAGAATTAAAGTGAGTTTTGACTGTGGTAATATACTGGATTTCCCGTTGCATTTAGCAGAATTTTGTGTTGCATTTTACGAAAAAAAAACCCCAAAAAACCGCTCGCCTGACTTAGAAAAATTAGCCGGAATGGGTGGACGCTAAACAAGTAATTTTTTTTATGTGGCCTTAGGGATAGAACAGATAAGACGTGCTGCTGTATTTTGTAGCCGTTGTAGTTTACATCTGTGACACCAAATAGAAGACTGTTACAGTAGTCTATCCTTGACATTATTAGTGCTTGTACCACAGACTTTCTATCTTGATAGCTTAAAAACTTTCGAATACATGTTATGAAGATGATATACTACGGATTGACAAGTCTTATTTATATGATGTGACATATTAAGATTGTTATCAAACCATACTCCGAGAATTCTGGCACACGATACTACTGGAATGCTATCTTGACCAATGACAATAGTGGCAATACTAGAGATGTTAACCTTTTTGAGCTGAGCAGCAGTTCCAATTATTAAAAACTCTGTCTTCCCATCATTCAGTTTAAGCTTATCAACTGTCATCTAAGTCCTGATGTCCTTGATACAATTCTGTAGTGCACATATTACATCAAGCTCATTAGTAGCACCGTCCGGCTTAAACGAAAGGTATACTATTGAGTATCATCAGCATACGCATGCACATCTGACAGGTGACACTTAACTACTGAATAGCTTGCTTGCGTAGATTGTGAAAAGCAACGGACCGAGACAAGATCCTTGAGGAACACCATGAGGGAGAGAGAAATTTTCTGAGTAGTTACCATTTATTAGCACACGTTGAGATCTGTTCGTTAAGTAGGATTTAAACCATTTAAGGGCAGTACCTGTTATTCCAAAGCTGACCTCAAGACGACGTAATAACACTTGATGATCTACATGCAGTGTCAAATGCAGCACTCAAGTCTAAAAGTACCAGTAGTGCGACTCTTTGTTGGTCCATAGAGCACATGATGTCATTATGTACTTTTAGTAAGGCTGTTTCGGTACAATGACCAGCCCGATATGCTGATTGCATGTATGATTGGGTATATATCTGAACATTTAATGTGTTCAAGTGTCTGGTCACTTACAGCTCTTTCCGTCAGTTTAGATACAAACTGGAGATTACTTATTGGTCTTAAATTTGATAGCGATGCAGGTTGACCAGTTTTCTTGAGCCTTGGATCGACAAGGGTGGATTTCCAAGCAGAGGGGAAATAACCTAGCGAGAGAGAGGAGTTGATCATACAGGTAATGACAGGTAGCAGTTCATTTAGACTCTTGACCACGAGCTAGTGATGTAGGCATAGGATCTAGGGCGCAACTCTTCTTCGCTGATTTCTGAATAAGCTGTGACACCATGTCAGTTGCAAGAACCTCGAATTTCTCCAGACTTTCATTAAAACCAAACTTAGGGTCATTTATTAGTCGAGAACTATCACATTTATTACACTAAGAAACCAAAACTTGATAAAAATATAAACTGACAGTGGCCAAAGTCCATTGAGTGAACAACGCACGAATCAATGCAAAAAGAACGAAAATTAGAACACCGAATCGTTTTGAAAACTTGTGCTAAGACGGACTGCCGAAGCGAAGGCCTTTCAATACATGTGGTTCGACGTATACATGAAACATCACTTGATGCAAAATATGGAAATCAGCAAGAGAAAGCAAACGCGAATGGATAGAAAACATTTTAAAGACATCTCTATGTAAGCAAAGTCGAATAGTCGATGGCACATTAGCCTAAAATAGAGATTATATACAAGTGAACGGAAGGCGAATATAAATAGCAAGAAAAGTTAGAAAACAATGAAGTGAATAGGGCCCCCATGATTTTTACGTGACGCGTGTTTAGCTGTTATTTCAAGCGTTATCACGTGATTAAGTTATTTTTGGTGCGTGAAATCCTTGCGTGAAATCGTGAATTTAAATGTTTGCGAGAGTCGGGAAAAGGCCAATTTAAGTGGCAGTCCCGCTAAGGGCCTGTTTACATGGAGGTAGGGTGACCCTATCAGGAGAGTTCGGCCCTAGCAAGCGGGTCAGAAAATAGCGAGCGTATACATGAGGTATAGAGGCAGAGTAACCCTACTGCTAGGGCTATGTTGCCCGATAAGGTAACCCTACCTGTACGTGGTCGCTAAGCCGTCTGTATTAGAAAAATGGCGCCGCAACGCAAAGTTTTAGCGGCAAGTTGTGTAATGCTATTTATTGGGCCTTTATAGCTCGCTGCATTTCGATGTTGTGGTCTGTTATTTCAATGCCGTGGTCTGTTATTCCAATGTTGTCGTCTATTACTCGCATTGCGTAATGTATTCCTTGATATAGTCCAACACAACAGTTTTTCAACATGTTCGGCTGACAAGAGCATTTATTTTGGGGTTTTTTTACGTCGATGAGGATGAGCCGGAATTTTGCTTCCTTTTCGCCGTCTTTGATTTTGTTATCGAAACTACATCATTCGCACTTCGCAGCGCCAGCGTTCTCGTCCAAAGGCAAAGCTTCGTTCTACGCCTCTGCTTCCTTATTTGTAAATTGCTTATTTATCCTTTTTATTTTCTGGTGTCGTTTAAAATACTCGCCAGGCTGATATGTTCATATGTATAATCTAGCGACGCCATCCTTGTTTGTCCACCAGTCACAGTAGGACGTATAAAATATGACTCGCTTGCTAGGGTAACCCTACCTGACGCGTTTACACTGATGGCTTATGTAAACAAACCTAAGATAGCCCTGCTGCTAGGGTCACCCTATCTGTTTGACAGGGTAACCCTACCCCTAGGGTAACCCTAGCGCGCATGTAAACGTTTCCTATAAAACATATTGAACTGAAGTAGGGTAACCCGCTTACTAGGGTAACCCTTCTGCTAGGTAACTACCTATATGTGTCCACGAAATAAAACAATCGTTGAAGAGCCTTGAATGACAGAAAAATATCGAGCAGCATTAGGAGGTTTAAAAACTGATTATTGGGCTCAATGAAAATCCACCCCATCAAATGGTCCGCCCCTAATACATAATATTTCTAAAATCCATATATAGATTAGTCGTCGCATGCAAATCAGCCATTTCTACGTGTGAACCTCTTAGGTTTATAATTAAAACGGAGATTATTTTCATTATAAAACAACAAGTCAGCACTATTTAAAGTACGAAAATGTCAGCAAGTTAATGTCATCATCATTTAATTCTGCCAAACAGAAACTCCAAAACTAAGGCGCATTTTTACAATATTTCCAAAAGTTTAAGTTTCCCGAGAAAGACAGCGTATAGCCATCATACATAAGTATCAAATTAAATTCCATTGCTAAAAATTCGAACGGGTGAAAACATATTCCTTTCACAGATATAAGGCTGGTAGCCTGGTATACTTTAATTTAGGGTATTATTATTAGTTGCGGTAGTAATGATGTGTTTATAAAATGCTCCGTCGTCCGTCGTCCGCCCGCCTTTTATCTACAGCCTCACATACCATAGCCCCAGGTGGTCTTCCTACTTAGACGCTCATCTCTACTAACTTTACTTTTATATTTTCACTTTTATATTTTCACTTCTATATTTTCACTTTTATATTTTCACTTTTATATTTCACTTTTATATTTTCACTTTTAACTTTTATATTTTCACTTCTATATTTTCACTTTTATATTTTCACTTTTATATTTTCACTTTTAACTTTTATATTTTCACTTTTATATTTTTACTTTAATATTTTTACTTTTATATTTTAACTTTTACAGTTTTAGGCACAATTAACTTATTTGACAGTAAGAAAGTTTTTAGGCCGTGCGTATAAAGAGGGTTACATGCGCGAAAGCTGGATTCGGTTTTAGTGATACGCAGTGGAATTCCGGCCATGTCAACAGCCGACAATATCGGTTGTCTGGAAAACGCGTGCACGTACACGCGTACACGTACACGCGTACATGGAAAACGCGTACATGGAAAACGCGTACATGGAAAACGCGTACATGGAAAACGCGTACATGGAAAACGCGTACATGGAAAACGCGTACAATGTTTATTTGTAACGTTAATTAAAACTTGGTGATTTTATTG